AAATTGACAAGACACATATTTATATGTCTCCATTGTTGATGGTAAGACGGTTGGAGTTTTACCGTAATTGATGAATGCGTTTAGCAAAAAAAAAAAAAAATTTGTAAGAAACCTAAGTTTTCTTCTCTCTAAACATTTAGCCCAAGATTTTAATCATTTCATCTCATGCTGATTACGGGATCCGCCAATTAGTGGAACATTTCTTCACCTCACTATCTCTTATATTTTATTCATGTAATTAATGTTCACTATTCAATTGGACCACTAGTCTTTTTGTCTTTCTCACCTCATAAGCATAATGGAACATGTAGGGTTTTGTCTCCCCACTCTTGACCTAATAAAATTATATTAATTGCTTTTTTTTGAGAAAAAATTATATTAATTGTTTATGCTACATAGATAATATTATCTCCAAGGGAATAGCATTCACTGAAATTACATTAGATCTAGATTTGGATCAGAAATAACACAAAAACAAAAAAAAGAGGATAAAGCTTCGATATGGAGAAGAGTAATGGTCTAAGAGTGATTCTGTTTCCACTTCCAATTCAAGGCTGCATCAACCCTATGATTCAGCTCGCAAAGATCCTTCACTCAAGAGGTTTCTCCATCACTGTGATCCACACGAGCTTCAACGCACCAAAAGCTTCAAGCCATCCTCTCTTCACTTTCTTACAGATCCAAGACGGCTTGTCTGAAACAGAGACAAGAACTGATGATAACACTCAGCTCTTCACTCTTCTCAACCGAAGATGTGAGACTCCGTTTCGTGACTGTTTGACTAAACTTTTGCAATCTTCAGATTCAAAAACAGAGGAAAAGAAAAAGAGGATTAGCTGTTTGATTCATGATTCTGGATGGACCTTCACACAAAACCTAGACAAAATTTTGAAACTCCCGAGATTGATTCTTAATGTGTACACAATCTCTTACTTTCGAGGCCATTTTGTTCTTCCTAAGCTTCGCCGTGAAGGGTATCTTCTGTCGCAAGGTATTGTTATTGCTCACTTTACCATTTACTCTCTCTAAAATAAATATTTTCCAATATTGTTTAAGTTTCATGTTCAGATC